TGACATGACACGGAAATCAATACGCAGCTGCACCTTCGCGTGATTCACGAAATTAGGGGATTTGCTGGTGTGTTGGGTGCAAAAGATTTGAACGATTAGAATGATGTACAACGATGCGTAATTATAGTATCCTGGGAAAGGAGGAAGCTTTTTTTTGTTGATGAAGTAGAAATTTGTTTTGATATTTTCTGGTACTTGAATTGGGAAATTTGTTGTATGGTTTGTTAATAATGAATTCATTGCGTTTCTCAATTTCATAGTTTGCAAGTTGTTAGATTTCCAAATTTCTCTATTTCGAATTTTCCAATTTTTAAATTATTCAAATTTCAAATTTTTAGTTTGTAATTCTTAATTTTTTTATTTTGTAATTTTTAGATTTTCAATTTTTCAATTTTCAGTTTGTAATTGTCAATTTCTTAATTTTTTAATTTTCAATTTGTTAATTATCGAGTTTTCTAGTTTCAATTTGTATATTTTCAATTGTCAATACCCTAATTTTCAATTTAGAAATTTCTTTTTTCAAAATTTTCAATTATTCAATTATTCTATTCAATGTTTCAATTTTTTCAATTTTCCAGTTTGTAATTGTCAATTGTATGATTTTCAATTTCCAAATTGTCAATTATCGAATTTCCGAGTTTCAATTTTCAAATTTTCAATTCTCAAATTCGAATTTGGGATTTGGGAAATTTGGGATTGGGAAATTTGGGAGTTGGGGAATTTGGGATTTGGGGAATTTGGGATTTGGGGAATTTGGGATTTGGGGAATTTGGGATTTGGGGAATTTGGGATTTGGGGAATTTGGGATTTGGGGAATTTGGGATTTGGGGAATTTGGGATTTGGGGAATTCGGGATTTGGAGAATTTGGGATTTGGGAAATTGCGGAGTTGGGGAATTTGGGATTTGGGGAATTTGGGATTTGGGGGATTCGGGATTTGGGGAATTCGGGATTTGGGGAATTTGGGATTTGGGGAATTTGGGATTTGGGGAATTTGGGATTTGGGGAATTTGGGATTTGGGGAATTTGGGATTTGGGGAATTTGGGATTTGGGGAATTTGGGATTTGGGGAATTTGGGATTTGGGGAATTTGGGATTTGGGGAATTTGGGAGTTGGGGAATTTGGGAGTTGGGGAATTTGGGAGTTGGGGAATTTAGGAGTTGGGGAATTTGGGAGTTGGGGAATTTGGGATTTGGGAAATTTGGGATTGGGGAATTTGGGATTTGGTGAATTTGGGATTTGGGGAATTTGGGATTTGGGGAATTTGGGATTTGGGGAATTTGGGATTTGGGGAATTTGGGATTTGGGGAATTTGGGATTTGGGGAATTCGGGATTTGGGGAATTTGGGATTTGGGGAATTCGGGAATTACAATCAGTCATTGTAATTGGCAAATAGTAATTTCGTGTTACGAATATTAACGAAGAGTCTGTGTTATTTTTTTTCGTATAATTTTATATTGTGCTTCACACTGATTTGCCACATATGTATTTTGCATATTTTTTATGTCTTCAAATGGTGTCACACTTTCTATATTTCGAAATTCTCCATTTGATATTCAATTTAACTTAAAGCCTTATTTTTATGATTTAACAATTTTGGTACCGGGTCGTAAAAAAACAGAAATTTTATTTCCAGTAAATCTAGTATTAGATTTGCATATTGATTGGTTGAGTCCGAAGTATAAATATCCGATAATTAGAATGTGATTTGGAGACAAAATTATTACAGCATGACAATTATAGTATGTTAATTTGAAATTTCAACATTTTATTGATATCCTTGATAATTATTATAAATGGTCAATTACTATATCCACCCAAATAATAAATTACTCCAATTAAATAACTTTTAATAAATTAATCACAGTATTCGTTAACAATTTTAATCAGTATAACTATTATGGACAGATCAGAAATTATGGAAATTATCGGTGTATCATTTTTGAATTATCGTCTAATTTGTCCGTAGACTTTTATGTGAACCTTGGAATTTTAAAAGTGTTCTATTTGATTAAGGTCAGGTACGTAAAGGCGTTATGCAAATGGCAGTATTAGGCGTACGAAACCGGTATTAAACGATCCTGACGTTTCGAACGATGTCGATTATTTAAACGACAGTTCGATATTTTCGTTACAAAATACGTCCCTCAGAGGAATTCCATTTTCGGCTTAGAAATGTTATAATTTATTCTCGATGGCTCGGACAGCAGCCTTATACGGTGCTTCTTAATTGGCAACAAGTTTGAATATTTCCTATGCATCAATATAAATGTGAATATAACAGTTATGAATATGGAGGATTAACTGGATGTGAAATAGCAATTTCAAAAGGAGAACGAAGGGGGACTTAAATCGACAGTTTTTTTTTTTACTTTGTTTAATTGTATGATTATTTTATTTTGAAGGTTCATATTTTTTAATTTCTTAAGTTTCACAATTTTTCATTTACTAATTTTCTATTTTACAAGTTTCACATTTTTCCATTTACTAATTTTCATATTTATAGATTTTCTGATTTACTAGGTTCACATTTTTTCATTTACTAGTTTTTATATTTATAGATTTTCAAATTTACAAGGTTCACATTTCTACATGTACTAATTTTCATATTTATAAATTTTCTAATTTACAAGTTTCACATTCCTCCATTTACTAATTTTCAAATTTATATATTTTCTGATTTGCAAGGATTACATTTCTCCATTTACTAATTTTCATATTTATACATTTTCTAATTTACAAGTTTCATATTTCTACATGTACTAATTTTCATATTTCTACATTTTCTAATTTACAAGTTTCATATTTATTCATTTACTAATTTTCAAACTTATATATTTTTTAATTTACCAGGTTCACAACTATTCATTTACTAGTTTCGAAATTTCCAGATTTTCTAAAAATCAATTTTAAAAAATGAATCTAGGTTAATGCAGTTCTCTCGTCCCCCATTACTTTATTCATGGATATTCACCTTCCACTACATACACCTTGACAAGGCATAGAATATCGTACCACGATAAGTACGCTTATAAATATAATCCTATAATTGTATAAGATCGTTTTAATTAAGCGGCTGACAAATCCTGATACAAATTAGTGCAGCGTTCGAACGAGGTTGGTCGTAAATGTCTTAAGAAAATGCTGACAGTAATTTTCACGGGCCAGGAACATTACACCTCTTATGTAGCGCACGTTTGCTTACGAATACGCGTACGCGTACAAATTAGCATAGTAATATACATATATTTTGGTCCAGTGTAAAACTTTTCGCTGGAAATTCCTTGGCAATGAACGAGTTATAAGTTGAAGGTGTGTCTTGACAACCTTGTGACGTTAGAGAGTTGCGACACTCTTCAGCCTGGAATGAGCTCAATATGAAATTCAATGTGAAATAAATTACAAACGTTTCGTTTTTCATTTGCAAACATTACCTATATGGAACATTACGATTTGAAATTATCATATTGGGATATGTGCCTAATTGCGGAGGCTTTAAGTCAGTTTACGTTAATTAAAAAATACCGCAATATAAACGTCGTATTATTTACATCGATATCTGTTGTCGAACAGTTTTTATCGATATAATTTGGCGCAATTTCGGGGCCCGTTTACGCCCCCTGTCACGGTGTTTGACGTCACCCTAACCTAGTTTTTGCGAAACGATTTTCTTACGGACGCTGTCGTTTCGTGGTAAATAATTGAAAAATTATATCACCGTATTACAAGCTTGAAAATTTCGTGGTGTCAAAATTGATTTGAAAATAACGAAAGGGCTCGTAGGTATGAATTTATTCTTTTCATACTATATCAGATCATTTTGTGATATAATATACATTTTGTACAGCAAAGATTTATAATCAATTTAAGTGATACAGTTCCATAAGCATTTCTTAAAATTTTGGATTAAAACTCCTGTTAAAATCAACAAAAGCATAATGTATACTCTTCTATAAATATTTATAACATAATAACATATTAAAATTGTTAATTTTTATTTTGGATCTTATTTGTCAATGATTACATCTAATTTGAATGATTTCATTTGTATTTAATTGTGTATGTATTCTCTTTTATTGATAATTTTAATATTCTACTTTTGATGATAAAGGCTTTATAGCCTAGTACGTTGCTCTTCTATCCATGATGGCACTTTAGAAAATAAAAAGCTGTGATGGGGCACGTGCAGTCTGTGGACACAGCGTTTATGTCTTCTTTTAGAGTTTAGTACCATCTTTCTGCACCCTTATGCATAATGAACCTGTTAGCAGCGAGTAACAAGTAGTCAAGATCTTTTTATTAGGTGTCTGGGAAAATTGATTAGCTCTTGTATGAGACAAATAAGTATCCTTGTATGTTCCTCATGAAACTAGCAGTAATTACAAATATGTATAACATTATAATTAAATGACTAAAAGAATTCTTATTTATTTTATTTTAAGGTTCGTTACATTCATTAGAAACTTTTGAAGTTGATTTGTGTGCAGATGAAATAAGAAATAATCTAATTTCTTTATGTTATTATAATACCAACATAATAATATATGTATATAATATATCTAATGCACATATTATTGTATTATTATACTTGTTGCGTTAATAATATTATTACAGTTTGTTTTAATATTTTCATACGTGTATAATATTCATAATATATACACATCGGCTGACAAAAAATTTTATATATTTGTTTTTTAGGAAGTTTGTTTATTTCATTCAATTTTATTTTTTCATTTAGAATTACAAGAACATTTAATTATGCACAATAACACAGAATTTAATAAATAAAAATGCATGAAATACCTTTATAAAAAATATGTTTCTTTCCTTAAGGCATAAAAATTAAGACAAATGAAATTTTTGTATAAAGAATCTTTTTTTCAAAAGATGTACAGCCATAAATATTCATATAAATGTATTATATATATTTACAAGATAAAAATGTTCATTTAGAAGGTGAATATTAATAGAATTATTCTCTTTTTTTGTCGAAACGCAGGCACGGTCGGAAGAACATCTCGCACAAGAACAAGCATGGCTAAGCTCGGAAAGGATTTGGTTGTTGCATCGGGGTGGTTTCACCCCGGCGACAAAATGCGGCCCAGCAGATCCAGACACTGGAAAACTGAGAATTCGTTTGACTACTTCCGGCGAAGAACTTCTGGTTGACGAAGAAGATGTTGAAAAGGTAATCTATATGAGATGCATCAGTCTGACAACTAGGTTAAATAAAATTAATCGTTTATTTTGTTTCGCAGGCCAATCCCCCGCAGTTCGACAAGGCCGAGGAGCTCTCGCAATTACGCTTTCTCAATGAATCCTCTGTTCTCCACACACTGAGACAACGTTACGCCAGCAATTTAATACACACTTATGCGGGAGATAGCATGATCATAATCAATCCGGTGGCGCCACTCGCTATTTACTCGGAAAAGGCAAGTGCAATTTGTAAATTGCTATCTTTCTTCCGATATTCAACCAAATTATTCTATTATTCAATAATGTAGTCTTCAATTTGCCACTCGTCTTTTTAATTCAACCCTTCTGCACTATTTAGGGTTGCTATATGTAGACTTCTTCTTGTTAAAACAGTATTTTAATGTAATATATAATTCATAAAAAAAGATGTATTTAGTAGTTTAATTTTTTTATAGTTTTAGGTCTTGAGAAAGTATTTGTAAAGTATTATAGTCCTAAAATTGTTATTCATTTTTTAAATTTAATCTTTGCACCTCATTTAGGGTTGTTAAATCTTACAATCCTCTTAAGGGATGTATTTTATTATAACTCTAAAATAATTTGAAATGCATTTATAAAATATTTATTATAATAAAAGTCATACTGTTTTCAAATCTATTAAAATATTTGAACAATGTCTACCACAAATTTCAAATTTAATCTTTCAAGAAAAACTTGATAACTGTATTCAGTCATTTTTTAAATTTAATTTTTAAGCTGTAAAATATTCTCTTGATATTGTGAAATCTACGATTAAATAATTTCGTCGGGAATCTGAAGCTTGATCGTTATTACCCATGTAGTCAAGATTAGGGGTGTAAAGTGGAGAGTGTGAAGATACTATTTTAAAGGTAGCTAAGGGAAGAGATAAGAGTGGTGAAAGTGGAAAGACATGGTGGATAAGGTGGATAAGAGTAAAGTTCGTAGACGTAGAAAAAAGTTTCAAGTGTATATCGTACTCACAATGAAACCAGAGGGGTGGAAAGATCAAAGTTGAGTCTGGCACTATACTTGACAAATGATTTTCGTTTCTTAAAAATTTGTGCAAAATAGTATTATTCGTTACTAACAAAATTATTTTGAAACTTCATATTATTATATTATAAAAATATCCTTATAGAACTGAATTAATGAATATAAAAATTGTTATATCATTTTTTACATAATATAATTTAAATGAATAGTTTGGTATTTTATACTGCCTTGAAGTAATTTTAATACTTTTTACTAAAGTAATTTACATACTTTTAATGTTTCTTTGAGGTTTATTATTTTATAGTTCATCTCTTTGACAAGTAATTGAATAAAATCATAAAATTATTTATTCTTTTGTTTCAGGTGGCACATATGTTTAGAGGATGCAAAAGCGAAGATATGCCACCACATGTTTATGCAATGGCACAAGCAGCTTACAGGGGGATGCTTGCAACTCGCAGAGATCATTCCTTGGTTTTTCTTGGTCGCAGTGGATCAGGCAAAACTACCAACTTCAAACATGCCCTTCATTATCTTGTATTGGCTGCAGGCACAGTTAACAAAGTAAATTAGTTAATGCTGTATTTAATTTTTATTGTGCAAAAATTTTACCACTAACTGCAGTGTGCTGTCACATTTCATATGTAAATTTGAGATTCTTTCATAATTTTTATAATTGAATTAATAATTTTTATTTCTTTACTTATTATCTGTACAGTAAATTACAAAAGACAATTGCAGTTGAATTTAATTTACATTGATTATTGTGTTTTCTGTTTGTAGATCTTGACTATTGAAAAATTGAACGCTCTTTTCACGGTGCTGGAAGCTTTTGGAAATAGCAGAACACACATGAATTCAAATGCAACACGTTTCACACAAATTTTCAGCCTAGACTTTGATCAGTCAGGCCAAATAGCATCTGCTTCTTTGCAGGTAAGAAATGTTAAATAAGCAAACTTATAATAAAATCAAAATTAGTGTTATATAAGAAATTTAAACATATTGTCCTCTATCCATAAAAAAAAACATCAAAAAATATATTGAAATAGCTTGTTATTCTAATCCTCCTCTTCTGTCCACAAGGTGTTGCTTTTGGAAAAATCCAGGATAGGCAGGAGAGTAAACGGGGATCCAACCTTCCACGCCATTTATCGTTTGCTGGCAGGTGCTGAGGGTGCACTGAGAAAAGAGTTGCACCTTACTAATCTAGTCGCGGAAAACAATGCATTTATTACTCCACTTCAGAAACACGAAGACAAGCAACGTGCTATGGTCGAGTTCAATCGAATTGTGGCTGCATTTAGGATCCTCGGTGTTTCTGAAACGGACGAAAAAGTTATTTGGCTGGTACTTGCCGGTATTTATCATCTGAGTTGCGCCGGTGCTGTTAAAGCCGGCACCAGTTCCCAAAGTCGATGGCAATTCGCGAGAGTAGAGTGTGCTGAGAAAGCTGCCACACTTTTGGGTACTACGGTCGAGGAATTGAGTAGAATAGTGTTTTCTTCTAACGGAGGTGGTGCTGGTACACCGAGTACTCCGAGACCTGCTCTTCGAACACCCAGTCCGACGGAGCAGGGCAAAGATATTATGGGTTTGGACGCCCTGGAAGGTCTCCTTATTGGACTCTATTCCGAAGTGTTCCACTGCGTAGCGGCTCTTATTAATAGGTACTTTGCTTTCTGCAAATTTTCATTATGTACAATATGACAGGATAACTGATATAATAAAATATTTTCAAGTTTACATTATTAGAAATGAAACTTGTTTTTTGTGTTAACAGATCCATATCATCCTCCATACACACTGTGTCGTCCTTGTTGCTGTGCGATTCTCCAGGTTTCCAGAATCCAGCCTCTTGTGGACGACAGACTGGTGCTACTTTCGAAGATCTTTGTCACAATTATTTGCAGGAACGACTGCAGTTGCTGTTTCACCATACCACACTAGTAGCACCCAAAGACAGGTACTGTGTAATATACTTGTACAAATTAGAATCTCCTCATTAATGAAATCATTTATGCATCATCATTTATGTATCACTTTCTTCATGCGTAGATTGTAATGATTGTACAGTTTTTCAAGGTTTTATGAGAAGATATATAAGTATATATATGTATAATTAATCATAACATCAAGTGGATCATTTGATACCAAGGGTGATTATAATTATTTGTTTTTAATTACTTGTACACAAAAAGCAACTAATAAGAGAAAGAAGCAATAGAGATAGTAGAATAAAATTTATAATAAATTAAGTGATTATTAAATTGCAACTGAACAATTATAAAATTTGTAAGGCTGACATTACTTAAACTAAATTACAAGTTATCTATAACAGAATTTTCATTAAAAAGGAAGGTATTTTTGCTTCATCATATACTTCTTTTGAATATAAAATCATGTTCTTTTTAGTTTGCAAGAACAATCACTAATTAATTTTAATAAATCTTTATTTGTCACTCATTAATTTTGATGCCTCATATAAAAGTATAGTATGTTAATTCTAATAGTATTGCTATACGGTCTTGATAGGGCTGATCGAATCATTATAAATTCATGTTAATTACACCTGCTGTTGTCAGATCTCAGACTACGAATACATTTAAATAATAATTAAACAATATTTCACTGTGACTGTATTTTTTTTATTTACTTTTGGATTCTAGCTTGCAACAGTTATCGAGGTATTACTATACTCTTGTCTGATCCTGAACCTCAAAGAAGTAATAATACTTATATTAATCATTCATTTCGCTCAAAACATATGGCTTTTGATAAAATCCATATAAGTTATAATTAATAAAATTAATCGGTTCGATTTCGAATCCAGGTACGTTCAAGAAGGTATCGACGTCGATTACGAAGACGATTGTGACGAAGATGGTATCGGATCACCTCAGGGTTTAATTTCGCTGTTAGATCGTGGAAGTTCACAAGGCGCGACAATGTTGCGAACTAGCCAAAGTGACCTTAGCGGAAGTAGACAAATGGAACGGAAAGGACTTCTATGGTTATTGGACGAAGAGACAGTGTGTCCTGGCGGTAGCGACGAAACGTTCCTTGATCGATTGTTTTCGCATTATGGAGATCGAGGTATGTCTCAGTTTTTGTATAACCATTTATCAAGCGACGACATAAATATTCCTTCTTTTTTTTCTTTTTAAAGATCATCAAATGCTTCTACGGAAAGCACCCGGAAACAATCAGTTTGTTTTACAACATTTACTGGGTACCAATCCTGTACTCTACACAGCCACAGGGTGGCTCAAAGCAACTCGAGAAAATCCTGTTACTAAAAGTGCCATTACAATTTTGCAAGAAAGTTCGAGGTATCTTTTCTACATTTTTAAATACTTTCGAATTTTATAAATAAATTAAACCTTCATAATTGGATGTAGCTATCCAGATTATCACTTAGATTCCTGACTAGTTAATATTTATTATAAAATTTCATTTAAAAAAAAAAATTTTGCTGCCCAACTTAATTCACTAACTTTTTGTTTTTTATCTTGGAATAAAAGATAATTTAAATAAAAGAAATAGAAGAAAATTTGTCATGTGTACTTATTATATGTGCTATGTAAAATTTGTATTCTGTATTTACACAATCTTTTCTTATTTTAAAACAAGAGTATAGAAGTAACTCTTGTAAAATCAGTTCAAAATTGAGGTATATCAGAAAGTAATGGTATACTTTATCTCAATATCAGGGAAGATGTCAGCATGTTATTTGTCAGTGCACGCGGAGCTGGAGTTTCTGGAGCCTTATGCAGTTCGATGCCTGGTTTGGAAGGTTCGCAGTCTTTAAGGAGAGCTTCTAGTATACGAAGAACATTCACTGCTGTGAAGAGGAAAAATATTTGTTTGCAGGTCAAATTTACTGTTGTAAGTAAACCACATTATATATAAATATGTTTAAATAATGTTTGGACTATAGGTGCTTATAATTTTATGACATATCAAGGATTTATAAATAGCATTCCATTCTGAATATTCATCTCTTACGTATTTTACTTTCTTTACATAGATTAAGTGATTAATGTATATTCTACTGACTTTGCGTAAACATCTATAGTTTAACTATGATATAATACGTACAGAGTCAATATAATGCCACTGAATACTCTTACATGATAACTGTATAACATAAAGTAATAAATTCATCTATCTATCCCATAATATTTCTTGATTTTAAGAATACGTTTACGTATGAAAGATAAAGTCACGTGTTATGTTATATATTACGTTATCATTAAGCAATGACTCAGCTGACGTAAGTGTAGGAATAATTAGAACTAAATTATCCTTCGTTCTATCAACGAGATAGATGCAGAGTTGAAAATGTACATTGAATTAAGATGCACATTATTCTGGTATCATTTGCTATTTTTGTTTATTACTTTTGTTGTTGGTTTGTGCATAAGAAAGGCAAGAATCAAATGAAACTTTTTCTTCTAAAAGTAATATTTTGTAAAAAAAATAAACGATTGATGTCATTGTTTACAGGATGGACTGATTGAGACTTTGCGAAGAACGCGGGTTAAATTCATCCATTGTATACTTCCCCAACACAATGCTGGGTGCACAGATAATAAGAGCCTGTTGTCTGTGAAGTCAAACCAAAGCGAGGACAGTGTTATCAATGTACCCCTTTTGCGGTCACAGGTAAATATTTTATACCTGAAACATATAGTTATAATTTAAAAATATATTATAGGTCGTTGCCTTTCAGTTTCTGGTTTTTTAAATTTTAAACAATTTCTACTTTAACTATAAATTATTTATAAATACAGCTGTATGGAAAATAGTAGAATTTAAATATACATATTATAAAATTTATTTCAGTTTTTTTTCATAATGTAAATAGTTCAAGGAACAAAATAAATCTTATTTTAAATGAACTTTTTTAGTTACAAAAATTGAGAAGTACAGAAAAAATGAGTAATACAAATCAGAACATGAATAATACAAAGCACAATAGACATGTTTAGTCTTTTTAGTTTAAAAATCATATGTAATGTACTAACAAATTTTTTGTTTGTTTTGCAGATTCGCGGTAGTCAAATAATTGACGCTATTCGGCTGCACAAGGTCGGATTCCCTAAATACATGGCTGTCAGTGAATTCAGAAGACGATTCAGTTTATTATCAAGCGACGTAAATGCTCGACCAGGTAGTCCTGTTGCCGATGAACGTCGTGCCGTTGAAGACATGATGCTCACCATTGATGTTGATCCAGCTTTGTATCGTGTTGGTCAGAGTCAGGTAAGTTTTGCTTGCTTGTTCATTACATATTTTAATGCTGAGGAACAGTGTAACTTTCATACATTTTCTCAAATTGTTTATATATACATGTACATCTAAGTACAACTATAATATTATTAATATTTGAAGCAGTACAATTTTTATAAACATATCTTAAATTGGCGTTTAAGTTTTTAAGTGTACTTGTATAAGTTTTAATTTAATTTATGAAATCATTTATATGATTATTTCTGAAATTCTTTTAGATTATTCTAAAGTTAGTACTTTATTAATATCAGTAAATTGTAAAGGGTTTAAAGAGTAGGGTAGGGGAAAAATATATAAAATAAATTAAGACATGAAATCTGTAATTTCAAGTTTTTTTCTAAACTTGATTAAATAGGGTCAAGAAATGCAGCTAAAATATTTTACAAAAACATTCCATAGTAGCGTGAAGAATTTTTTAATTATAAATTAATTACACAATATTAAGATTTTATTTTTTTTCATCATTAATATGTTCAAATTAATTTCTCAAATATAAGTCTCCTTTATACTGATTATGTAGAGTATTCATTTTTAAATATCAGAATATTTTGCTTACATGTAAAATAATCTTCCAGTATTTAAGAATGAAATCACTCCTTCACAGTTGATCAATTTACGTATCTCCTAATATAATCATGTCTTAAATTTCCAATACATTCATTTCACTTTAAGAGAGGTACTTTCACTTTCTTCTAAACTTTCTTAAAAATCTCTTTCATCCACCACATGCCCAAATGAAGAGTCCACAGCATATATAATACACATGTTTGCAAACTAGTTGCACTGCTGGTTTTAAATATCAATGGCGACACAGATATATGTTATTCAATATCGCCTGGAGTCACAGGTGTTCCAGCACTTCCGCAATTCACTGTGGCTCATCTGATCATGATTATACTTTTGTTAACAAATAGTGATGTGATGGAATACCTCACAAGTGGATTCGACTATTTATTTATTGGATTAAGCGTTTCTGTAAATAAAAACAGTTTTAAGTATACTCGAACTTGAACGAGATTGATTGGAACTTTCAATCACTGCTTCAGGAAACGACGGTAATGCTTCCACATAGATCAGAACAGTGGTTCTCAACTTTTTTATGAATATCACTAAAATCAAAATTTAATTTAAGATTTTGAAGTATGTAGAAATTTGTGAGAGATTATATACTTAATTATACTACTATTGTATATAGTTATTTAATTTTTATTAGTCTAATTATATACTGTGTTAGAATTATGGTGTGGTTAGGTGGTGATACAGTGCAAGACTGTGTATAACATGTGGTGATATAATGCAAGGTTATCTAACGTGGCGATATAACGCGAGTCTAGAATATTAATATTATTTTTACACATTTCGTTTAACTTGTTTTACTTGTTATTATTATTGATTATTGTATTTTAGTAATTTTACTTCATTTTTTTTTCTTATTAGTTATTATTGTACTTCACTTATTTTATATAATTATACTATAATTATTCTACTACTTATACACATTTTATTTGTATTTTTTTTTTGCTTTCTTAACCTGTATATATTGAACTTGATCTCATCTCCAGTAACAATACACGGTTAAAACAATTCGTTTTCCTACGGAGAATCACTTGGCGCGATTTCGGTCAACTTTCTCTGTGAATTCGATTACCGTTTAGTTACTTCGATTTAAGATCAGTATCGGTGATGTCGATCGGAACGATCCAATCAATTATTCAGGCGAATCTAATGCATCTAGGAGATCTAAAAAAACTTTAATACATCTAGATCTTATCATCGTGATTTAAACAATCTGAACGAATCTGATCGAAATGTATGAGCATACAATGTTACTAAAGTAGAACAGGGTTGAACGCTTCCTTTTCTGTACAAGAGATAAGATTATATCGTAGGAAATAATTAATTATTAGAAATAAATGATACTCTGTCGACAAGGTATTTGATCAATTACTTTTAGCAATTGTGTTTCATGCTAATTTGAAATTTTGTAAATGGGAATTTTGTTGGGTTGGATTTTTGTGAAGTTAGAAATTTGGGGATTTTGGAAATTTGAGTTGTAGGGAATTTTTAAATTTGGTAATTTAATTAGATGATTTGGGAATTGGGAAGTTTAGGAGTTTTAGAATTTAGAGATTTGGAGATTTGGGAATTTGGTGATTTTTGAATTTAGCAATTTGGGAATTTGGTTATTTTTAAACTTGGTGACTTTGGAACTTTAGTAATTTGGTGATTTTTTAATTTAGTGATTGCGAAATTTGGTGATTTTCGAATTTACAGATTTTGGAATTTAGTCATTTCGAAATTTGGTAATTTTCGAATTTAGTGATTTTTGAATTTTGGTGATTTTTTAATTCTGGTCAGTTTTGGATTTTGGTGATTTTCGAATCTAGTGATTTTTGGATTTGGTGGTTTTCGAATCTAGTGATTTTTAAATTTTGGTGATTTTTGAATCTAGTGATTTTTGGATTTGGTGATTTTTAAATCTAGTAATTTTTGGATTTTGTGTTTTTCGAATTTAGTGATTTTTGGATTTGGTGATTTTCAAATCTAGTGATTTTTGGATTTGACGTTTTTCGGATTTGGTGATTTTCGGATTTAGTGATTTTTGAATCTAGTGATTTTTGGATTTGGTGATTTTCAAATCTAGTGATTTTTGGATTTGGCGTTTTTCGGATTTGGTGATTTGCGGATTTAGTGATTTTTGAATCTAGTGATTTTTGGATATGGTGGTGATTTTCGAATGTAGTGATTTTTGGATATGGTGATTTTCAAATCTAATGATTTTTCGATTTGGTGATTTGGAAATTTGGTCATTTTTGAGTTAGAAGACTGTGAAATGTTTAATGTTCACATCTGGTGATTTTTGAATGTAAATATTTATCAATTAGAAATTGGAAAGTTGGGAATTAAAAAATTTAAAGATTTTGTATTCCAAGAATCTGATAATTGTTAGAATTAATTAATTTTTTGATTTCGTAATTAGAAAACGTAAATTTCTGAATCTACAAAAGTACAATTTTTGCTATTTTTAACACACGGTAGTTTGAGAAATCCTCAAACAAAAAACGTATCGAACCTACAGAACGAGTTGTAAGATCGACTGTTCACTTTCCGCGGTACCGAATGTCCACTTCCCGTTGCGAGAATTAATACGAAGCTGCGGGCCACGTACGATTTTGTTTGTCCGCGAAAGTGCAAAAGGGTCGAATATCTCTTTCTTTCGAAAAAGATAAAAAAAAAGCGACACGCGCTAGTAACTTTCTCGTGGCCCACATAGAAATCGTTGCACTCTTCAGAACCTCTCCTTGTTCGCAGAACTCATGTTCCTCGGGGCCTTTTCATCACGAAAGTGTTTCACCTTGTGCGTATGTGCGTCTTTTTTCTTTTTTACCTGTTCCCCTCTTTTATCGGGTCATCCCGTAGGCAGTCTCGTTGTTCTTTTTGAATGAAATCCATTTCGATCTTACAAATAAGAAGCATTCGACAGCTGCTGATAATTGCAGTCAGTTATCGGTTTGTTATCGCATAGGGGAAACGCAACATATTTCAAATGCTGATCGTTTGAAATATGCAAAAACTTGTTAACATTATCTACTTTATATCAACATAAATAATTGACACGATTGATCTCTTAATCGATCATATTTATGGATGTACCTTTCATGTTTAATTTGAAGTTAAATTTTTATATTGTTAGAAATGTAAAAAATTATTTTATTAAGAAAATAAAATAATATTTAAAGTTGTTTTACAGTCTACATCCTTAAAAAATTTAATTATTTTCTTGAACGATTAAATTGAATCAGATGAATATGATTTAATTTTTTTTATACAATAATAGTTTTATATGGAATGTTTTTAATGTTAATATATTTTTTGTTAATACTAAGTGATGAAAACATGCATTAGTTCATTCCATTCGCTAGTAACCTATTTATCCGTACGATTACGTTAACGCAATATCGACAACAAAAAGTCGTTTCCAATGGAAAATACTTTTTTGTTTTGCATAATAAGTAGAATTGAATAAACATGGTGTAGGAATAATGTAGGTCATACATTATCAGTCAGTAAGTTGTATTATAAATTACAATGATACTAAATTAAGAACAAAAAATTTAAATAAATGAATAAATTTATAAATAAGCAAAGAAATAAGTATATAAGAATGTACTTGTAAATAAACATTTAGCACAAAAAATATAAATTAATATTTAATATAAAAGTATACATAAATATTTAGTACATACAATATAAATAACTACGTAGTACAAAAATATAAGTAAAATATTTAGTTCAAAAAGTAAAGGCAATATAAAAATGTAAATAGTCAGTTAGTACGGAAAACGTGAATAAATATTTATATTTGTGTATACAGCAACATAAAATATTACGTAAAAATAGTTACGTGGGAAATAAACGATGTACTGGTTAAAGAATAAAATTAGCGTACAGAATGTCTGTTGGAAAAATGAAGGTGAAAAGATAAAATAGAAAATAAATAAGTGAATATAATATGTAACTGTCATGCAATCGACGATGACCGTTTCCAACAGTAAATACGTAAGACGTACTATTGAAAATGAAAACGAAATGTACTATGTTACGCTTCGTTAACTGTAGATTATTTCATTCGGTTTAGCGTAGTAGCGTAAATCTTCCAATTCTTTGCTTTTCTCCTTTTATCCACTGAAATACCTTAACATATTCCCTCTTCTCCTTTATTTTATCAACAAATTTCTCACTTTCCATGTATTTTATTTGAAAGTTTAGTAGGGGTTGGTGTATTTTCATTATTGGCGATGTTAAATTTCAAGAATGGTTTATTTTTCATATTAAACAATAAGAGTTTCAAATTTAAATATTAGATCAGTTTTATCTTTATTAGTAAAAAAGTTAAATTTAAAAGTTTCGTGTTCAGACTTTCGTTTATTCGTGTAGTTTCGATATTGTCCGAAGTTTGCCGAACTACAAAG